GCCTCATCTCAAAAACAACAACAAACGGACTGAGTGAGTTTTGGTTCCCTGTACCGTAACATACGATGAGGAAGCCTGACTTCAGGTCATCGGCGGCCTCATCTCAAAAACAACAACAAACGGACTGAGTGAGTTTTGGTTCCCTGTACCGTAACATACGATGAGGAAGCCTGACTTCAGGTCATCGGCGGCCTCATCTCAAAAACAACAACAAACGGACTGAGTGAGTTTTGGTTCCCTGTACTTTAACATACGATGAGGAAGCCTGACTTCAGGTCATCGGCGGCCTCATCTCAAAAACAACAACAAACGGACTGACTGAGTTTTGAAAATTTTCTCTCCAATTATTCCACACCGTCTGACTCTTAGGCAAAGGCACACTGCCCCAAAAATGCACATTGTTCCACAAAGCTATTACCCAGAATTAAATAAAACACAGGCTTCAGTGACAGCTTTGTTCAATATCAATAAAGTTCAAAGTAATGTATAGTAATATTGCATTTAAAAAGTACTCAGGCGATGCTTTGAGTCCATATTTAAAGAAGCACCTTGACTTCCACTAGTACAGAAGCATAAAGCTGTATTGGGAAGAGGCTCTGAGTGACGGAATCACTGCAGCCAGCTGGTGCTGAATGGGCAAAAGTATAACAGCCACGTGTGTTGCCATACCTGGTTTGTTACTTATACTTCCAGTTCCTGTCAATCCATCCATCCATCCATCCATTTTTTTGTACCTGCTTGTCCTATTCAGGGTTTATTTTTTTGGGGGGGGGGGGTCCAGCGCAAGGCAGGGAACAACCCAGGATGGGGTGCCCCCACCCATCACTGGCTACATTCCTTTTAATCAGTCTTACACTAGTAACCAAAACTGTGTCTACTTCCAGTTTTTAGAGATTGTAGAACTTTATTCAACTCTTGTTCCAGTTACTTCTTTAATTGTCCGAAGTATAATATTTGTAAAATCATACATTGGACAATTACATAAGTAACGATTTTAGTGTATTGCATTCCTGAGACTAGGTGAATATTGAGACAAGCAGATCAGTGGTTATCTCCTGCAGATTTAAATCAATATAGCATTGTCAAACCATTATGAATAATTAAAAGAAATAGTGATAAAATATTATTCAATCCAGCCCCACTCCAGTGGTTCCGGTCATTCAAACTTGCTGGGTCCATTCTGCACTTTCATCAGGCTGGAGCATAAAATAACTTATGGGGTACATGAGGGTGGGTAACAGGTGGTGGGAGGTTTAAATCCCTCATGGAACAGTACTGCTATGGTCCTGAGCGCGGTATGGGCCCTTGGTTCTTTAGTAAATATCTAGCTGTATGAATATTTTATATATTAAAAAATGATTAATCAAGAATAAAAAATATATTTTTTGATCACACACACACATTCCTAGGGGTTTGGGCTATTTGTGGGACGTGGCCGTTGTGCTAAGACATGGGTCAGTGGGCTCATTGGGCCGCAAAGGCTGGAACTGTTCTGCCTCTTTGGTGATACTTTGGAAGAAGATTGTTCAGCTATCTTCTGTCTCAGCATGTAACTATGATTTGCAGTTGGGGAGTGTAAATGGGCCCTCAAACTGTTCCCTGTGTCAGATGTGGTGACCCGTCAAGAAGTAGAGAGGTTGGTCTTCATTGGCGTTGGCTGTCTGGAATTCATCTCTCAGACGAAACTGCCATTCATCCTCTAGGTCCAGCCTCACGATGGTCTGCCGTAAGGAGCTGCGGTCCCGGCAGATCACACATAGAGTAGCACCTGACCATAGACAAACAGAGAAGGATGTTTGTGTCATGTGACCACTCACATGTAAACAACAATCATATGACTTGCTAAAAGTGCTTCAAACTAACCTCAGCAGGCTGAACTGAAGCTCAAATTTCTTTGGAGCCTAAGGCTGAATAAGGGCACTTTCAGATTGCAGGAACTTTTTTCAGGAACCGGAACTTTATTGTACAACCAGGAACTTTTGTTGTGTTCACTCTGTCTCCCATGCTTATTAAGTGTTATGGTCCCAGTTCCTGTTGTGCAGTGTGAAACCGACACAGGAAAGTGGCCAAGAGCAACAGAAGTCCCCAGTCCAGACAGGTACCAGGTTCCAGAACCTCTGTGTGAAGGCGCCTCAAGTGAAGCAAATGTCTGTGCATATTTGAACACTCTTCACTACCTGGACTGTTAACATATGAGCAGGTCGTGGTTTATACTGATATGATAGATCAACAACTAATTTGGGAAAATTTGTTACCTTTGAGGAATTTGAACTTCTTGAGAAAACTGGGCACCACAAACGAGTCACAGAGGTACAGGAGGAGCCCACTGAACACAACGCCCTTGTGGTCCAGATTGACTGAGTGCGGCCTGGAGCTGAGGTAGCATACTGCAATCTGAGGAATAATGAACAAACAAGTAAGAAGATAAGACACTCTTTGACACTCTTTGACACTGATGAACATCCCATTTGGAAAAGTGGCAACACCCAAGCGAGTGATACTGAAAAACATGACACTTATTAGGATTTCCAAATGTAATTCAGTTAAATACACAAATGAAAATAGAAATTTAGCAGAGATTTTAACCCAAAATGACGTACTATTGAAAAACCACGGTCTGCCAGTGCCTAGAGCAATTGGGGTTAAGGGCCCAACAGTGAAATCAATCTGCCGATCCTGGGATGTGAACCTGTGACATTCTGATCACAAACACAGTGTCCTAAACCACACACCCCCCTCATTAAAGGTAACAGAATACTCTAGAAGGAGGACATTTCTCATCTTCTGGGATGCTAAGCACATTACCTCTGGGCCAATGTTAAGGTAGCTGTCGACAGACAGCAGAGGGTTGGTGCCATTGCTCACGGCTTTGGGGAACAGTTTGCTGCCGTTGTGCTGCAAGAAGGTCTCCAGTAGGACCTGGGCTGGAGCGGCCAGCAGCATGTGCTCGCTGTCTGGGGCACACACATACTGCGAGGGGCTGATGGGATTGGGGCCTTCTGGTACCTGTCAGGGAACACAAGCTACTGGTGACACACGCTGGAGCATGTGGGAGATTCCAGTACTAGTCTATATACACATAAAATACACACAGCAGCAGGATCACTGGACAACATGCTACATAAACACGGTCCTTATTTAGCAGATAATAAAACAGCATGTTTTGCTAACTAGATAGCTAGCTATGATCTTCTGACTCTACTCGCTAGCTATTTATTAAGTTTTTGAAACATCTGAGGTGGGACAGGAGCCCCAGAGTGACGTTCTGAGTGGGGCCAGGAAACAACAAACCCAGCCCTGTATGTACATAACAAGAACAAGAAGTATTACTAAGCCTACAATGGTATATACAGTATTACAATGCTATATACAGTAATAGAATGGTATATACAGTACTGTGCGGAAGTCTTAGGCAGCCAAAGAAAATGATGTTTAAATGATCTTTATGTTGGTGTAAAACTATGCTATTATTACTGTCAAAGTGTGTCAGCTTAGCCATTTGAAAACCTCTGCTAGAATCACCCCATGATTTCCAGCAACCATACAATACACCTATGGATTTTTTGACTCGACCAGTAGCAGAGCTAATCAATATCTCACTGACTCTTTTTTAACTACTTAAATAAATCAATTAAGCAAGCTGCTGGTGAAATTTAACAAATACATGGAATGGCTGGGGTGCCCATGAGGAGAGGTTTGGGAACTGAAGCGATGTTCATCTCGCCATCCAACTGGATAACAGAAGAAATTTGTACTATTTTTTATTGTGTTGCTCTAAATTTGCATATGTTCTATTGTTAATTTGTGTGTTTTCTGAGCAAATGTGCACTTACTACCCAGATAAACAGCTTTAAACATTTCTTTTGACTGTCTAAGACTTTTGCACAGTATTGTACTTCTGATGCGTATCACTATGATGCATGTTGACTGATTCTGTGGCTGTTTACCAGTAGCTTAGGTTTGATAACAACGTCCTTGCGCCCCCCGGTGGTCATGTGTTTCTTCATGAAGCTGAAGTGGTTGAAACGGCAGATAAGCAGCCCGCTGCCGTTGGCGCGCAGGTTAAAGTCCACTTCCTCGTGGCTGTAGCGGTTCAGGTCATATTGGACGTTCTGGGTCAGGTCCACGTTAAGCATGACGAAGTCGTGGACGTGGCAGCGAGAGAAGGGCGCGGCGGGGGGGGGCATGCCACTACTCCACTTGCGAATGCCACACAGGGCATACAGGCCTATGTTGGGCGTGGCCTCCACGTGCTGTAGAACGGTTTTCAGTGAGACGTTCTCGAAGCTATGGGGCACGTCTGTCGTATTACTGTGAAGAGTGAAAAGGATTAGAATATGACTCTTACGGACTTCGTCCCCCAACGGCAATCAGCACAAAATTAAGTTTGAATACAAGCTATCAATTGCGGAAGAGAAAAAGTAAAACTGATGACCTGGAGTTATGCATCAAAAAATCAA